TCGGGCTGCCGCAGCCACTCTCCCCACTTGCAGGACATCTCTTCTTCTTCCTTCCACACAAATGCGCAAGGTGAAGCCACCTTTTCTTCTCTGCCTAAGCAGTGTTGCTGCCCCACTTAAACCCTTATGTCCCCTCCCTGCTGCCTCTTCTTCTGCAATCCCTCTCTTCTCTGTGACCACAGACTTCTCCAAGACCTATGGATCCTGTTCATGGTGTTTTCTGTTAAGGTCTTAAAAGTCCTGGCATTTTTTTAATCAAAGCATTTCATTTCCTGCAGGAAGTACTTATTACTAAATTTGAAGAAACTGATTAAGCAACACATGGAACATAATTTTTAAATTTATTAAAATAGATTAAGAATGTTTAGCATTGTATTTAGATAGTCACTATTCATAACTATTGCACTGCAGGATCTTCACTAAAGTAGTCTGCAGGCTGGTGGGCATTTGTGGGGGGCGGTACGGAGGCCTCTCCATTGGCAGTTCTCTGCTGAACGGAACAGTTTCAATGTGTGCCAGCCCACCACCCTACGATCAGAGTCGAATCCTTCTGATTTCATCCAGTAGGTGTTGTTGCAGCTAATCTGAGACCTTTGGGGACAGGATCAGTGACTGGCCGTGGATGGGGGTAAGGCTGGTGCTAGGCTGGCCAGACAGGTCAGACTCCTCAGCAGAAATGCTGCCGGCTCTTCCGAGAGCCCTGCAGGGCCACCTGGGGCTAAGCACATTTTCCATCATTTTCCTTTTCTTTTCTTGTCCATGGAATCGGAAATCATATGCAGTCATTTTTCTTTCACCCTAAAAAATAAAACAACACTCTCTCATGCTCATATATTTTAGGCCATTTTTGAGGAGTTTTGTTGCCATAAGGATATTTAGAAGTAAGTCCTCCCTAAAGAAAATGATACCTTCTACAGGATTTAAAAAATAGAATTCCTTTTGAAAAGCAGGAAGTACAGCCCAGACTCCCATAGCCTGTATCGCGTCCGTGTGAGGTGCTGAGTGGCAGGGTCACAGTTCCTGGAGAGGGAGGCTTTGTCAGTGACAGAGAGACTTCCCAGCTCCCAGATCGTGGTCTCTGAGGCACTTGTGTCTGTGCAATAACTGTTTTCACTGCATTTCTCCCTTGGTCTTTACTTCCAATATTTTTCCTTTGTTATTTTGAATGTATCCTTGTGAATCACCATAAGTCCATTTAGAATAAGGCAGGGTGTAAATCTGTCATCAGATATGCCTGAAAAGTTTTATCTTCCGATAATTAAAGAATCTCAGCAGCTGGTAGCAGCTTTTTAAACACTATCAGTGACATTTTTTGATGGTTTTAATTTCAATCCTGCCTGTTCCTTCTGGGGCATTTAAACTTGCTACCAGAAAGTTATGTGGCTGTCAGACTATGGTCATGAATTCGGTCCAGCTGATTAATCAGTGTCTGTACTCAGAACAAGTGGGGTCCTAATTGATTCCTTTTCTGGGGAGTTTAGCACTCAGTGGTCCCTGGGGGCCCGGCTGCCTTTTTTCTCTGTTTTGGAGCCCTGACTTCTAGTCAGAACTGCTGCCGCCTGCTTTTTTACTCATGCAGAAGCTAACTAAAATATTCTAACGCTGTTATCTGCCTACTGACTTTAACGATTATTTGGATTGATTTTAAAAGGACATTGTAAAACTCATTTTTAAATTAAGTGATCAGCAAGCATGGGTCTAGGGGATGTCGTTATAGAACAGATGCAGCCAACTGTGATTTCTCTGAGTCCCCTCACATCCAAAATGTAGCATCTCACACACCCAGAGAAGATGAAACTGAAGTACACAGAAAGGTTTGTTTATGAAAACCATGCTCTCAACAGCCCACCCTCCCGTGATTTACAAAGATAAATTGTTTAATCACATTATGCCACGTCATGCCACAATATGATACATGTTTGCTTATAACCAAGGTGGACGTGGGAGTGGTGCACTTCACTCCCTTGATACAGCCCAAGATAGAGCAGCCGTTCAAGCTGGTGGATAAAGTTGTTCAGAACGTATTTCAGTTCAAAAGGAAATACTGCCATCGCGGGCTTGGGTAAGAACGCCTTCTCTCCCTTTCAGCAGCAGTCTTTATAAAAGCCTCAATTGCTTTTAAAGAGTAAGGACTTTGATTTTATGACACTTAAAGCTCTCTGTGAACATTACTCTTAGTTCAAATGCTGTGCGAACAAAACTTGACCTCTGGTTACTAGAGGTGGGAAAGGAGGAGGGGAGGGGCTAGGGAGAAACTGGGTAAGGGACACAGCAAGTAGTTACGATTTGTAATGATGACTCTGCTAGTAATATTGATTCAGTCATCACATACCGTACACAAATACTGATAGTCAACTCTGTACCCCATAAATATGTATAATCGTTTCATTAAAAAATAAAATTTAGAAAAAACCTAACTAAAAGCAAAACCTTAATTTAACGATGCCACTTACAGGTTTACTTTGGTTTGATCATGAGAATGAAGATATTTCAAAAAGTTCATGTTAAGATTGTGTTATCTTTCAATTCTATTTTCCCACGAACTTTTTGAAGTTCCCTTGTACAACTTAAAACTGACAATTATGCAGTTAATGATGATCCTGTACTGGGGAGGGCATGTCTCAGTCAGGACTCAGGTGCACATGGGTTTTTAAAATTCTTTCTCCCGAGTTGCTGTGTCCTTTCTTTGAGGCGAAGTTAAACACACGTGAGAACTGGAAGCAAATATAACTTCTGAGCAGCCAACACAATGTCTCAGAGTCTTCACACCAGCACAATTTCCCTTAACAGGAGCGCCTCTGCCCTGAGCAGGCACACGGCCCAGCACGAAAACAGGCCAGAACATAGCAGTGTTGAGTCCGCCTACCAGGCAGGCAGGCCCTGAGGTGACCGCAGTGCCATTTTATATCCAGCAGGAGTCAAGAGAGTGCCCATTTAGACCCAGTTAGAGCGTGTTTAAGAAGGCAGGGAAGTACATGCATATTTTTAAAGATTTCCATCTAACATAGTTCAGCTGTTTAAAAGGGCTCAGCTTTACAGGCACACATTCCTCATCTCCTAAAACCTCCTTCTACAGCTAGCTCCCTTTTAATTGTCTTTCTGGTCCTGTGAACTGTCCCCTCAGCACATGAAATTCCTCAGGTGCTGTTAGCCAGCTACATCCAGAAATCATTGCGATCCACAAAACGGATTCTTGAGGATTTCAAGGACTGACGTTAAGTCCTCAGCCCTCCATTTGACTGTAATTAAGCCAGTATCATACCTTACCAGAGAGTTCCCACTTCTCCAGCAGAGACTTAAGGTGCAGATACCACTGATGGTGGTACTAATCAGAGTGAAGGGACCCTTGTAACTGCTAAAGCCCAGCCAGGGTGCACTGCTGGCCAGTGGAACACAGCTGGATGTCAGCTCACATCCTTCATGCAGCATACGACCCATACAACTACATGACAGCCCCGATCTGCGGGAAAAGTCACCAAAAGTCCATCCTCCTTTTGGAAATCCTGAAGTTGGTCTGAGCCTAGAGCTGGCCCTGTGGCTCCAAGGCAGCCCTCGAGCTAAGTGACGGGCCCCATTCATTTCATATACACAGTCCTCTGTACAGATATTGACCAAGTATTATCACCCCCTTTGACCTGTTGGTGTCCTTCAGTTACACCACATGTGGGTCCCAGGTGTTAGAAACCATCACCAGGCCCTTGCCATGAAACTCAAAGATCTAAGTCACCTCATCGTAAAAGTGTGAGGAACATGCAGTTCTTTGTTGAGAGGACCATCAGCCTGTAAGAAAAACTCCATCTCCACTGGCCATGTCATCTTCCAAGCCCTTTGGCATGAGCTTTGTAGAGCCTGAGATTGAGAGGAAAAAATTAAATCCCAGGGTAACTGCAATACTTTTTAACAGTTCCACTGTTAATTTTAAAACAATGATTCAGTTTGGTTAGATGAAATTTAAAATGCATATTTCAAATCAGTTTTAAAGATGTTTCAAAAATATCTCAAAGAGGAGAATAACTATTTGTATTTTTACATCAACTGTTTTCTAACTTTGCAAAAAAAAGAGTCACTCTGTAGGGGTGGAGAGTTCCAAAGGCTGAAATATTTAAATTTAAATTACAGAGAATCAAAACTAGCGATTTGTCACAAAAGAAATAGACAACTTTCATATAAAAATATGAGGCAGCTTACCCTTGCCATAAAGATACATGTATCAGTTTAGCTTTGGAAAGTATTTTCCCATTGTGGGCACACCTTGCAAGTCACCTAGACCTACCTGCCTCTGGTGGTAGGTGGGACCTATTACCTGGTGGGTAACTGAAGAGGCTCCAGCAGCCTCTGCCAGTCCCTTGAGGTGTCACTTGTCAGGAACCATGTCATTCTCAAATGAGTGTTGGAAGAAATATCATGATTTGCAGAGGGTGGGACCTATTACCTGGTGGGTAACTGAAGAGGCTCCAGCAGCCTCTGCCAGTCCCTTGAGGTATCACTTGTCAGGAACCATGTCATTCTCAAATGAGTGTTGGAAGAAATATCATGATTTGCAGAATTTAAGTACAATATTGATTTTTTTTTTCTCTTCCCCCTAGAATGTTATTCCCTGCAGCACAGCGCTTAGAAAGCACTGGAAGGCTATTACAGTTGGCAGATATAGACCCTACTCTTCGGCCCTGCCAGCTCTCAATTGCACACTTTAAGAGCCTCTGTGATGTATACAGAAAAATGTGTGATGAAGACCCACACCTCTTTGCTTATAATTTCAGGGAAGAACTCAAGCAAATTAAAAGCAATAATGCAGAAAAAGAGCATGTTGAGGACAATCACAGACTCTAGCTGCTACTTTACAGGCGAGCAGCCTACTGGACATGGATTTTCACAATGTGGAGCTTCTTAGACATGTACTCGGTTGTCTTTACAGAATGACAATAAAAATACTAATGACCAGATGTGACTTATTTTCCTTTTACTGTACACCTTGGTAGAGAAATAAATATCAAATAAGATACAGTACAAGCTTTCTTTTAATATATATACTGCATAGATATGACATGTTTAGTATAAACAGCATCTATTACAATCTTACAAAAATGAAATATCTACACATTATGCCCCTAAACCACATTAAAATAAATATGCTTTGAATAAAGCAAAAACTAACAGCTCAAAGAAAATGCCCAGAGGATTTTTTTTTAAAAAGACCCTTTTAAAAGCAATTAATCACAACTTCCCCAATCTTTTTCCACATAACTTAAAATTATTAGAATGCAACTTTATTTTAAGGATTCTAAATCATTTTGATACCTGCTCAAAAGGGATATAAACTAAGTAATTTACAGATTCCGACCAGTTTAATCTAGTTTTCTGATCCACAATAAATTAAAATAACTTAAATCTTTACAACTATTTTGTAGGAAAATGTGTACTGCACAAAACCCAATAATGGATAGTTTTTCTGCAACTTCTACTTTACCACCAGTTTAAAAGGAAGATGAGCAATTTCACCCATATCTGGATTGAACTGTACTACGATTTTCCATGGCTCTCTGTTTCATAAAAACACTCCTCATTGACAACTGATGTTAAACTCTGGACACTGAATTCTCGCCCTAGAACAGAGTTTAGATCAATGTTGCCATTTTCAGATTGACTGTCAAGAGACTGGTGACGAGTCTGCGCCTTCAGCAAAGTCCCTCTGTCCCTCTTGGTGCTGTTTGCTTTTCGTTTAATGGGGCAGAAGTGGCCCCGGACCAGTTTGGGCTGCTCTCCCCCTTTCTGGCCCTTGCCCACCTCCGTGTCCGGCTGCTGGCCAGCCAGGTGAGCATCGGGGTCCTCGGAAATTCTCAGTCTCTGGAACTGAATTTCAATGTCTTTGGTAGGGCTGCCTTGGTTCAGAGTCTGGTGGTAGTCATCATCTTCATCACTCAGAATATCACTCTCTTTGACGAGACTGTCTGAAAATCCTGCCAGGCCTGAGTGTGGGCACTTCCCAGGTGAAATGCCCTTAGAGTCAGGCCTGCTCTCGGCCGTGTGGCCACCGCTGCTCTGGGTGCCGCTGCTCAGGCTGCACTCGTCTGAGTCCAGCGAGTGGCCCTTGCCAGTCTCACTGGTCCACTCGCTGCTGGAGGAATTCTTGAGGACCTTTAGAGACCTGGATGAAGCTGCAATGAAAAAAGCAATTTCCCCTTGTGATACAGAAACAGATTATACACAACGTGTAATGTTTGCCTTGTGGTTTATAAGGTTTAACATTCTGATTACTTAAGATTTTTATCAGCTGACTACAACTATTCTGGTAGTTAGTCAAATCCTCCTCTTTAGTCAAAATCCGGGTATTTAGTCAAAAACATGCAGACACTGCAAGCATGGAATTTTTTTTTTTTATGTTTATTTGAAATTGTGAGTTGGGAGACAGCATTTTTAGATTACTGGAGCTCAATTATTTAGACAGAATAATAAACTATAAACTCTTAGAAGGGTTAGGAGTCTTATTTTGCCAATGAATAAATTGAAAAATTAATTACTAATCTAGGTTCCTTAAAGTATTTTGTAATTTGATAGTCGAGATTACACTATTTCTATGCATACCTTCTCACCTTGTTTATTTCCCTTGATGCTCAATTAAAAGTAGAAAAATGTTCTTTATCTCTCATGAGAACTGTCTCTGCTGGAAATTCTAAGCAACTTTCAGAGATTTACTATTATGGATAGGTAATCATGAGTGTGTGCTTGTTCAACTCCATTCTCTTGGACTGAAAGGGAAAAGGGTGTGCTCAGTTTGTTTCTACAGACAACAGCAGCGTACTATTTTTCATGGCCATAACTTATTTTGACAAAAGAGAAAAAATTGAAAACGTGCAGTAAATCTGAAGAGATCAAACTGACCAAAAAAGAAAAAGAGAAGTTATCATACATTTTGGAAGACTAGAAACAAGAACAAAGATAATAATAAAATAATTAATACAGAAAAAAGGTTCTATCCAGGGTTCAATCCCTGTACCGGCCAGCTGCCAAAAAAGAAAAGGTGGTTCTAAAAATTTAAGCTGAAGTTTTAGAAACAGGCAGAAAGTTTAAGAACAGTATGATTTGGAATGTTTGCCTGCTGACATTGGGTAAAAACAAGTATATTAGGTTTCTTGATCTTAATTCATTTGAGTATTGACTTTTTAGATACCTGGCACTGTTCTGGGCACTGGGAATTAATACTGCACAGAAGAAAACAAAGTCCCTAGACTCATGTGCATCTTAGTGGAAGAAACAAATAAGATGTTAAGTCTGGACTGTGTTAGCTGGTGGTAAGACAAGGGATTTGGAGTTGGGAACGGTTGTGTTTTATAAAAGCATGTCTAGGAGCAAGTAGCATGTTTAGGTCTCTCAAACGGAAATAAAATCACCGCTGATCATTTACAAAGTGATGACTTACAGCTGTATTATAAGGGCATATATCCTTTTGGGGAAGCTCACAGTTTTTCTTAAATAAACATCAGGCTAGCAAAATTCTCACCTAATTTGGCTGAAACAGGAACTCGGTTCTTAAGAGGTACCAGGCGATCCTTACATGTTTTTTCCAGTGGTAATTCACACTTTATGTGACGCCTGAAGTTTTCCCTCAGAATAGAACGAATCACCTTAACGATGTTGGTTTTGCTTTCACTGTCACTGGGGGAGAGAGAAACCGCAGGACTGTCCAAGCATTCATCACACTCCCATTCCACACCCTCATGCTCCTGTTATTTTTGTCAGAGCGGCCTTGCACCTTCTAGGCCAGACTGACAGCAAACCACCCGACCTCTGTGTGCCTTGGTTCCCTCCCTTACAAAACGAGGTGAGAATTGATCATTCTAAGATCTGGATATTTAATCAATGTATTTTCCTACTAGAGCCTCTGTTACCTTTTGGGGGTGGATTGTTGTGACACTGATATCATCAAAATTCAGGAGGGCACTGAAAATGAACTCCCTTTCTTAAGAGAGTTAATTTTTTTTTCTATCTTTTTAAATTCTCTTATTTCCACTGGTTTTAATTTTTGGAAGTCAGTAATACCTGCAACACAACTGAAAGATGGTTTCTGGCCGTCCTTCTATTTCTGACTTTGTATGGATCAGTTCCCATATGGAATTATTTTCTGTCCCTGTGTAAAAGGAAATGGAAATAAGAATCTACAACTTTGCAAAAAATGCTGTGTGGTTAAGAACACTTGTGAAGTTTAAAACTCACGATTTAAAAAGTGAAATATTCCCAGCCTTGACTCACCATTTTCTTCTGTGGCTCATTCTATGTATGGTTTTCACAGACAGTTACAGAAAGTGAAACTCCGCCGGGTTACTTTTTACTTTTCCTGCTGAAGTTTTCCACCCATCTGAACCTTTCTCCCTAACCCTAGATTCCATCTCTGTGCTATTTTTCAACCCTCCTTTTGGAAGTTTGCCCATTCCTTGAGGTGAAATAGGCCAGCCCCAAATGCAGCCACATTCTAGGAAACACGAGCACTCCTGACAAAAATGAAGCAAGGCTCCAGACTGGCATCGCATGCCTTTGCCTGGTGGCCCTTTCTATCACCAGAGACACTGTCCCCAAAACACGGTTATTCTGGAAGCATCTCTGAACGTCTTCCAAGGTCAAAAAAAAAATTTTTTTTTAATAACACTTGCAATACTGCCTAATCTTAAGGAATTATCTGATGTATTCTAAATTTGTTAAAATGTAAGTGTGTGGACCTTTGTTTCTTTAACAAATTTTAGGGTATCAAGAATATTAGGGAGAACGAAAAACGCTGAAAACTACTGATAGTGAAAATACAGAAACAATGAAGAGAGGCATTGTGTAAAGAAAAACCCCATCCACTGCCATTTAATTTCTCCCAAAAGTCTATAAAGAAACATCAAAACCTCTCTTGTCCTCATTTTCCTTACCTGTAAAATAAAATACACCAAAAGTATCCCCAAGATCTTTTTCTACTTTTTCATTCCACAATGCAAATAAGTCTCCTCGAATGCTTTCTCTGACACTGCACTACATGAAAGTTACCTGCTGTGTTCCCCAGTCTGACTTGAAGTGCGGATATGGGGATCAACCAGCGGAATTTAAATGGGTCCAAGTCAGCAGAGCTGTGTGCAGGCCGGGAATTTGAGGGCTGCAATACAAAAGCCCGCCAAGAAATGTGTTAAAGCAAGCTCTCACCCAGAGAAGATGCATGCACAGTGAATGGAAGCGTCACGTTCTCTCTACGTGCAAGGCTCTGTGCAGCTGTGTGGGTGTTCAGGGCACAGAAATGTGCCTGCACAGGTAGGCATCCCATTCTCAAAGACCTCTCGGGCTCCAGGGGTAGGACAGAGGCGCCATGCGGGAGCAGAGAGTTCGGTCTCTAAGCAGGAATGGCAGCCACGCCTTCTGTGTCCCACATTCCCTCTGAATGCAAGCTGATGGCTTACAGTATCCACAGCTAAGCTTTTTGAGTAAAGGTAAAAGGCATTTTAAAACAAAGTTATATGGACTCTTATGTGTATGGAACAAACATGGGCCATTTGCAGGGATATAAAAGCTGATTTTCTGTGCAGACCCTTCATATGTATTTGTCCACATCTTCCAAAACAGACATCTTTTGTGGGGAGACTCAGAAATGCCCTGAGTATGTGATTTGGTTGGTTAACTTCAGAATAAGTAATATCAGTCAGTGACGCCTGGTGCTCAGCAGGCTTTTCAGTTCAATATTAATAGGTAGTTTAATTAAAATTATTTCTTGTCTTACCAATTTCTTTTTCAGTTTGCAGTTTTCTTTATAAACCAATATGACAGCTCTCTTAAAAACTAAAGAAAGGAAAAGAGAAAAGTCATTATTTTATCCAAACTCTTCCAATGTTAAACTAGAGCTGAATGTTTTAGTAGAACAAAGCTCTTGGGATTTATGAATCCCTGAGCTCCCACTATGCCGACACAAGATTGAATAAATGGTACTTCCTTCTGCTCATATTTGAACTACGCAGAAGTACCTGCTTATTTAAAGCTATTATCTGAAGTAGATCCCAGCATTTTTTAAATTCTTTTTTTGTTTCACTGAAACACAGCGTTCAACTCAGTGACAGTGCACCGTCTATACTTTTGCTCTCCCGACTCTCAGAGAGAATTAAGACATCTTGAAATGAAGCAGACTATTGAGATAGCAGGTTTCTAAATAGCCTCAGGAGATCTGTTCCTGTAATACTCAGCCTGAGCCAAGCAGCATAAGGGAGAAGAAGATGATGCGTGTGCAGAGCCACGGAGTTTTAAATAGTTGGAGGCTGTGATAAGTCACCAGCCATTACAGCAGTTCTCCTAACTCCTTCTGGAAACCAGGAGTTAGCTGGACTGATGGGGTTAGTGGAGTTCTTCATTATGGCCAGCCTCTTTTAAGTTTATATTCTTGTGAATGGAATACTAACCAAATACTGTGAGCTCAAGGTCCTTTCTGACTTTTCCTAGAGAGAGAAATGGATTCAACCAGGAAACGGTAGAGTGCATCAGAAGTTCCCCCATCGAAAGCTCTGTCACCTAGAGTGTAAAAACAGGAGGCACCGAAGATGTGAAAACCCCCGGAGTAGACTGTCTCATGTCAGATAGTGAATCACATATATATGGCCATTGCTAAAATGCAAGTACATTCTGTTTGGTTTTTATGGTCCCTATAAACATGAGGCCTTAAATCGTGAAGGTTTTGAAAATAGGAGCTAAGCATCAAACTGTTTGACGAATAACATAAAGGTGAAGACGTCTTGCTTCAATGCACACATATGTAGGTAAGACATGCCTCATGACCGCTCATTTGCATAACATTCTACCACAGCATTCACAATCATTCAAAGCGCCTTTATTAACTTTCAGCACAGGATCTAGTATGTTTACCACCTCTAATCCATAAACTACGTTAGGCCTGCTCATAAAAAAAAAATCAACATTAAAACTGCCCATAATAAAAAAATTAAACTCCAGATTTTTTCTCTTCTTGCCATCTTCTACTTAAGCTATGTTGCTTCTTGTATGCAGGCTTTAAAAGCATGAGATTCCAAATTTAGCAATCAGACAAACAAGAAAAATATACAAAATATCAAGTTCTACTTGAACTAATTTTATTAGCAAGCAGGTAACCACCAATACTTGATGTTAAAAAAGAAAAAAAAAATAAAACAATGAAGGAGAAGCCTTGCTTCTGTCCATACTCCGGTCCCTGCTTCCTTTCTCCACCCTGCTGTGTGCCAGCCCAAGCCTCCCACATCTGTTCTACCCTCTGGGAGTTGTCCTGCCTGGTGCCCTGGGAAAGGAGGAAGGTAGGCATATAAGCTCAATGATACTACTTCCTTGTTTTCGTTTATACAATGTTAACATTGCATAACAATGTTAAGACCAATGTAGTTAATTTTACATTACTCTTATACCTAAATTGTGTGGTTTATTATGTACATTAATATCAAGAAAACTATACGTATATTCTCCCCCAGGAAAGTCCTAACAGGGCAGCCTAGTCTGGAAGGTCAGCTAAAATGCAGTAAGCATGCGCATTAGGCCTCCCAGAACCCCAGGCTTCCCAGACCTCCTTCTCCGTCCCACTCTGCTCTGCTACTAGCTGGTCAAACACGGTCCCATAATCCTCATAGATCTTCTGCATCTCATTGATGTGGCTTGCTACTTTTTCCATTGCCTTCAGTGCTTCTGCAAAACATGAAATCATATTTACCTTATCATTTTTGTTTGTTTTAAATCTTATCCAGTGGCAGTCATAAAAGGACTCAAGATTCAAGCCAGGGTTCGAGACCAGTACTCACTAACGGCAGCATTATTCAGGCATAGCTCACAATAATCTAGTCATTATTATAAAGAACAGTAAAATTATCTTCCACCTCGAATTCTCTTTCAAATGAAGCAGTGTGTAAGTAAAAAGTATCACTAATAATTAATAACAGCTAACATTTATTGAAGACTTTCTACTTGGTATGTACCATGATAGGTGATTTGCATAAATCTTCTCATTTAATCCCCAAAATAACTCAATGACTGTAATCAATTGTAGTTTACAGATGAGAAAACTCATGTGCCAAAAAAACTATCCTGCCAGAGTTCCAGAGAGAAAAAAGACTGGAGCCAGAATTCAAACCCAAGACTGGCTGGTCTCAGGACACCAGCTTTTGAATTGTACCTCTATCCCTGGGAACTGGGAGCTACAGCAGTTTTGTAATTAGAACTTACAAATGCCCTGTAAATGACTCATTGACAGAGCACTTGTTTGCATTTATACATGGTTTTTATTTATAATTTTCTACAAGGGCATATAAGGGACAAAATGATTGCATCAAAGTCAAAAAGCACAATTTCAGGTTACCTCCAAATTCAGTATTTTTCATACTTTATTCTTCCAATTCAGTATTTTTTATTTTATTTTTATTTTTTTGCAACTGACTGGTATAAGGACCCAAACCCTTGCCCTTGGTGTTATAACACCATGCTCTAACCAGCTGAACTCACCAGCCAGCCCTGATTTAGTGTTTTAATTCAATCTGGAGGGAGGTTTAGAAGGAAGTTTTTTTAAACAGGTTAACAGTTTTTTAGCCCTTTTAAAGATCATCTTAATGTAAAATTAATTTTTTACACAGTATTTGAATGCTGATCACAATTTGTATCATTTGCTTGTAGAATTTAACTGTCATATAAAAAAATTCTTTGTCCTTATTGTTTATGATACCAAAGTATGCTCATCACGGAAAAAAAGAGCCAGTCTAATTTCCAGTCTTCTTAGGGTTTATTATTCAGTAATACTAACATGTATTAATAAGTCTGTTTCTCTCCCCAGGAATTTTATTAGAGGTGGCATAACTGGATCTCCTAGTTTTGATATATAGAGAACAAATCACTATTTCTCTCTCTCATCCAAATAAAGCATCTCTTTGAGGGATACTCTATTTACTATCAAACTGCAGGGCTTTGTGTTTTTGACAAGTTGTATTTTAGGCCAGTAATTTCAGAGGTTACAAACAATAGATAACACATCAGCATCAACTTTAAAGAATAATCTGTCAATGGGAGTTTGGTTCAGAGTCAAGCTCTGCTTGGAGATCTCCACAAGGTGGAGCCTCACCCAGCAAATCTGATCAGCAGCACCTAGGCTGCAAACAACACAAAACTTAGGTTCTGGCAGCACTGTTTACTAGCCAAGTGATCTGAGGTAATTTACTTCAACTTACTGAGCTTAAATCACCTTTTTAAAAAAATGAATTAGAATCCAGAGATTTGGGGACTACTCCAATCATATTTTTTTTTAAATCAAAGTCTAGCTATTTTCACATATTAAAATTATATCTAAGATTAACAACTGCAGTACTGAAAAGTGATTCGGAATACACCACCAAGCAGGGAAAGAGGTGAGCTCTCAGGCCCAGAGCGTGGCATGCAGTCCCATCACAACTCATGATCCCCGCAAAAATCAAAGTCTAGCTATTTTCACATATTAAAATTATATATAAGATTAACAACTGCAGTACTGAAAAGTGATTCGGAATACACCACCAAGCAGGGGAAGAGGTGAGCTCTCAGGCCCAGAGCGTGGCATGCAGTCCCATCACAACTCATGATCCCCGCGTCCTCGAGGTGGGCATCAGCAGCCTTACCTGTCAGGTGATAGTGCTCCTCACTGTCATGGTCTGTCAATGACACGAGCTCCTTGAGCAGCAGAGGGTACTTGAGCACTCTCTGGACAGGCTTGATGAGGTAGGACTCCAGTGTGGAGGAGTGCTGCTTGGTGGGATTCCGGGCATCCAGAAAAGCTTTGAAGGCTTTATCAGTTTTAGCTGCAAGCAGATGGATAAAAGACCCTTATTGGAGCGCAGTGGTACAAATTAAATTCTACTTCATTTATCTTTTAACAGATCATTTCTTTCTATAGCCCTAATGCCATCCTTTAATAAAAACCCAAACCCATCAAGTAGGTCAAGCACTGAGCTCTCAGTGTGGGCCCTGGCGTGACAGCCTGACAAGCCCCACGAGTGAAGGGAGTTTCTTAGAATGCCAGAGGAACACGGTCCACACGACAAAGAGGAACACTGAGTAAAATGCAGGAATGTCTGACTTAAAGACACATTTCACACATTTCACACATACTATGACAGCTTTTGTTTTAAGTGGCCTAAAAAGTGAGTTGTGAACAATTCATAAAGCCACAAAACAGTGTTATCTAGACTCCACCATACCTCACAAGAGATTCGTACAGAAAGATAAACCAGTGTTTCTTCCACTCGCCTAGCACTGGTGGTTGTTTATTCTGTACATTTCAGGGCTACTTGAAAAGCAATATATATGTTCCTTTAAAATAACTTGACAAACACCACAGCCTGCGGCCTTCCCCTCCACAGCTCCAAGCAAACTTTCTCCCATCCAGAGCCACAGCTCCCTCCTACCAGGTGTGGCACAGGACCCCCTTGGCAGTGAGAACTGCCTCTGTTCAGTGTCTGAGGTCCATGAAGGGTGCACACAGGAATCCAGGTGCATGTTGTTCAAGTGCCAGGGGACACACCAGCTGCTGCTTTGGAGTCCACCAGTTGGCATTGGTTAACCAGCTGTTTGGGATGTTTAGAATGCAGCCAACTTGAATGAAGATATACCCTTACTTGGGATTCTGGTACAAGGGCAAAATCTGCAACATCCAGGAGATGCACTACCATTCTGAATGTGATTTCCAGACCAAGTGGATGGTGAGATGGTCCTTCATCTTTATGCCAAAGGAGGAAGTGAGTGAGCCGTTGGCATGCTTTTATTTCACTACAGACCATCAATAAGAAGGTGTTCATGGAGAAAATGCCAATGGAATCAGAGCTCTGTTTAATGCAACCAGAGAAGATGGCTTTTGGCTGGGTCTTGTTAACGTGAAGCACTACAAGACTCCATTTTTTAAACTTGGGGCTTCTATTCTGGGATACTATGAAGTTCTGGATTTAAACCACATGGCAAAGCTCCATCAGTGGAAATGGTTAAACACTATCAGTGTCAGGATAAGCCTCTGGCCCACCATGACAGAACGGAGAGAAAGAAACACTGAAGAGCAACCCTGGAAAATGTGAGTTTTTCCCATTTCCACCAAAGAGAATTTAATTCCAGTTCACACACTTCTTGTGAGTCTGGTGGTAGTTGTTTGGTGATAGTTTGTAGTGGCTCCTCAGGCTTAAGAAGAAGGTTAACAAGAAAAAAAAAAGCCATGCATTCATTTCTTTCTGCCCCCATCCAGGGCTTATGGTCGCAAGTTTTTAGAGAAAGGAATTTGGTGAGAGAAGAATCCAGATGTAGTTTAATAGCAAAGTAGCACATCGCAAGCAACATCTCTGCTCCCAGGGCATGTGTTCACTGCTACTAGTAAACAAGATTTTCCCTTTAATACCTGCCACTTTCAAGGTCAAAAATGGAGCATAATACATTAAAACTGCATTTACCCCTACTTGTTAAGTACAGATTTATCCTTTATTAACAGTTAAAAATACAAAAAAACACACTATAAAAGATATGAGCGACTTACCTCGCTCTAGAACCTTCTGTACTTTAATATGATTAGCACAGAATCCACTGTATAGTTTAAAGTGGTCCGCATAATAAAGGAAAGAGCCTCCAAGGGAAAACAGCAATTTCTAGAAGGACAGGGGAAAAGTCAAATGAGATATGTTTTAATCCACGTGTGCTGGCTCACAGCCTGGCATTTGTCTGTCAGACACCACAGTACTAATGCCTCAGAGAAGTCACCAACTGCGGTAAGCCCAGGACTGCTCTGTTCGCACAGCAGATGGAGAACAGCCGGGCATTCCCCTAGCAGACCTTTGGCTTGATGGAAAAGTTTCTGGCAGCAGAACCTACTGACACAGTGTGCAATCAGAGGACAAGAAAGAAAGTTCTATGAAAACACACCTGACAAGGTGGGATGTAAATGAGCTGAGAAGTTCATTAATAAAGTTACTCTCCACGATTTGGGACGAACGCTGCTGTCTGTATAGTTCCTGGTCCTCTTGCTACTGCCTCCTGCCTTTTCTCCCCCAGAGGGGCTTCCTGTCAGGCACTGGTGCTTGCACTAATGCTTCACAGAAGAGAAGCCTCGATCAGAGCAATTTGAAACCTGTGTGCTTCATCCCAACGTAGATGAAGACTCAGGTGCAGCTGGCTGCTCTTGCTTCAAAAGCAGTAGCACTAGACATCCTTCAGCAAAGCTGAGGAAAGAGCACATGCACAGCCACCAACCAGGCTGGCAGTGCTGCCCAGACTCTGATTACCAGAAGCACCTACGCTAGGGAAAAATGCAGCCTTCTTTTTCCACCTGCCAGAGGAAAGCAGTGCAGTGAAAGCACTAACTGGATCTTAACAATTGTCAAGAGACAACGAATTATTTTGCAAGGGAGAATTTTGCACCATACCCACCTATTTTTGCTTTAAGCCTAAGTCTAAAATACTTACTCTAAACTGCGAGGGGGTTTCCAGTATGTTAAAGTCAGATGATGCTGAAATCCCATCCTCCAGAGTCTCCAGAAACACCTTTTGAAATTCAAGCATCTCTGGCAAACTTCCAAAAAGGGACTCCATCTATGAAGATCAGAATTTGGAAAGAAGGTATTAGCCTTGAAGATCCAAATACCACACTGACTCTTAGCCCACAGATAAATCACAAGGAAGTCCTTCACCAAGAGACATGCCTTTAAAGAAGGCAGCATGTCCTCTAAGGTATATAGTTGATATATAGAGAGTTTTAGAGCTCTGGCCCCTATAATTCTGTATTTCTAAAATAACTTTTTAAGTGGATGTAAAATTCTCAGAATTCAAATAGAGAAAAATGAAAGTCAGTAGAGAAGAACTAATTACTGTGATTTAACATTAAAAATTCATGAATTAAAAAGTAATTTTTGGCTGCACCTTCCACTACAAAAAGAGCATGACTGTCCTTCTGCCTTTGTAAACTCTTGCCTCTGTGCTGCATGTGGCAACAGCACATATATGGCTTTGGAAGAGGCCACACATGGGACTCTCTGAGATCATATGTCGCAGGTGGTCTTTGGGATTGTAGATATAATTTCCTAGGAGGTCCTCTAAAAAGCTAATGGAAACTAACCTATGGGTCAGTGGACAGAAGGAAGGTGATTATTATTTACCTCATCTTGGGTAAGAAAGGTCTCATTCTGAAGTGGTTTCAAGTATAATTCAAAGAGGCAGCTCAGATCCTGAAAGACAAAAGAAGAAAGTCTCTTTAACCTGTAAGTGTCCTAAATACCCAAGAGATTCCAGCAACCCAGGCAGCAGTTCCAAAGACTCCCATTAGGAATAACGAAGCTTATATCTTGTTGAAATTCTTGACCCAAAATGTGGTTATTATTGCACACCTAATTCAAAGAGGTTAATTGTAAGTGTCCTAAATACCCAAGAGATTCCAGCAACCCAGGCAGCAGTTCCAAAGACTCCCATTAGGAATAACGAAGCTTATGTCTTGTTGAAATTCTTGACCCAAAATGTGGTTATTATTGCACACCTAATTCAAAGAGGTTAAAACCACAATACAGTCAACAACTGGATTCCACATTTTTCTTTATAGCTTGATTACCTACTCTGCTTAGTTAAATATATTCTTGACAGAAACAATCTTTCTTTAGACCCCTGCAGCAGGAGCACTCATTTCCCTGCAGAGGAAGCAAGGTCTGGCTAGGTACTGCTGCTAGGTGTAACCGTGGCTACTGGCGGATCTAGCTTCGTCTGTGCCAGGGAGTATGGGGACAGCCACGGCATGGAGCTGGGAGGGACGACAGGAGCTGAGGAGCTCTTCAACTTTGGTGTTGATGCATTCGCAGAATTTCAAACTCTCATACCCAAATGCAAGAAAACATTTCCAAAGAGTAGCAGTATTAATATTAATGCTTAAAATCTAAGCCATATTTGGGTCTCCAGAAAACTAGGCTCTAGCAATACAGTGTAGTGGGAGTTGACTGTATTTATATAACCCATTAGATAAAGATTTCTTTTTATTTTATAATTTGAAGCTAAGACCGGGACATAACTTAGTGATAGAAAAGATTTCTCTGTTGTGCTCCATTTATTCTGAAGAATTTCGAGTACTAAAATACCAGAAGTGCTTGACTACAAAGTCAACTACACCAACTCCCTCACTTTACAAGGAGATATCTAAGACAGCTTTATAAAGCCCAAAGCACACCCAGAACCTTCTGGCGTGGATTCTGAGATAAAGGTCAGGCCTGTGATGCTGATGGTGTTTCACAAGAAAACATCCCTGGCTGCCCTCCCTCACCATACTCCACAGTGGGCTGCTCAGAGAAGGGAGATGTGAGAAGTGACTGAATCATACCTCAGGCAGCACACAAATGTTGAAAATTTCAAGGAGCATGCAAGGACCCAGGTTAAAGAACGACAAGTATAATTCTATGTTAAATGTCAGCAACAAAAATCAATTAAAAAACAGTGGGGGTTGGGAGTGTGTGAATCACAATGGGCACTAGGTGCTGGTTATTTTATCAGAGACAGTGGTGCCCAGCAGTCATTCTTGTCCAGGCGGACGCTGCTCAGGACTTACTGCACAGCAAGAGCAGGTCCGCGCTGAGCTGCGGTGGCAAAGAGCTGCAGCATGTGGGGCCCTAAGGAAACAAAGTGCAGATTTCTTGCAGAGAGAAGGGAGAGGCAGAGTTTCTTTACCCACAACATCCACCTCAGTCCTCCACCAGCACCACACTGAAATGACCCTCCCATTGTGGGCTAATAGTAAAATAAAACAATCACAACAAAAAGGGACTTAGATTGTCCTCTCAACTCTGCCCATAATTCTGCTGGTGAGAGCTCCATGACTATTCTCAAGGTGTAAGAGGGGCTCTGAAGGCTCAGAAACATCCACAGCTCACAGAGCTACAGTCATGCACCATATAATGACATTTCAGTCAGCAACAGACCACATATATGACAGTGGTCGGAGCAATAGGCTGTACCATATAGCTAGGTGTGTACTAGGCTATACCGTCTAGGTTTCTTGAGTACACTCTGCACAACAAGGAAATTGCCTAATGACGCACTTCTCAGAATGTATCCCCATCATTAAGTGACACTTGATTGTACTTGGAAAAAGGTCACTATCAAAACACAGGATTATTCAGAAATCTAGTCTGAACTCCCTGGATGTTCACTTCATCTCCCCATAATGGATGTAGGACAACATATAATGGAAAATGAAATTAAACTCTCATCTTTCTAACTTTTCTTTCTCCCTACTGGACCAAAGGAAGGGGCTTTGGGAAGCTCTCCTGGGCTTCCTGTGAATAAGGCCTTTGAAAAAGTCTAGACAAAACAACAGTGACATTAATGAAAGGGGAAGCTCAGGTTTGTCTTGTGGAGAAAAAAGGCAATAGCCACGTGTGGGTGCGCATGTATGCACCTAGGCTTCATTCATGGATTCAGCACCTCAGAGCTACAAGGTCCAACCATCCAGTGAGGGAGTTGGAGGGGACTGTCCAAGGCCATGCAGCCAGACTGAGGCAAAGCCAGGCCTGGAGTCCCAACATACTGTGCCATGCTGTTCCAGTAATTAACAAATTAAAGTGCAAAACAGTCCCCAGGCTTCAGCCAATACTGAAAGCAAAAGAACTCTGCCTTCCTAAGCTCCTGTATTCTTCATGAAATTTTTCTCAAACCACTACCTGGGGGCTTATAAGATAAATAAACTCTTTGGGTACTCCAAATACTCAGCAACTATCCCTTTTCATGGTGTGAGAACATTCGCATGTGATGACCTACGCATGGGCCTCTGGTCTGCACAGTGACCACCAGCAGGCTGGGCTCTGGGTCTGTATCAGCAGTTGCTTGTGTACAAACTGTTCCCTAGCTCCTCGTTACTTGTAATGATCCCTGTCCCCCTTTTACTAAGCCAGTACAGACTCCCTGCCCACAGACTACAAGTGACAAACTAGAACATCTGTTTCCATAGTGAAAGCTACCTTGGTAACAAAATGAGCCAAGAATCTAATTTCTTTCTGAGTCCTTAAGCTCTTCCACCCTCTCACCCCCTTCCCCATTCCCTGCAGTCATTCACTGCTTCAAGGAGCACACATCGCCCCATGAATGGCATGTGACCCAGGCAGAGGTGATGTGGGGACCTCTGCCAACACCCAGCTCGTCACCAGCCAGGAGGAAAGAATGCCCAGCACTTCCTGTTACCTTCACATAGGACTTCTCTGTGTCCACAAGCTCCTGGATGACTTTTCGGAGGCGGTCTGCATCAGAGAGGTGGCGGGCCAGGGGCCTCAGAGGTGGATCCTGATTCTCCTTCAGTCCTTGCATGCCGTTTGTCTGGGTGTCGTTAAAACTCCTACACAGTGTGGCGATCTGTTCAGCACTCTGAGAGATGAGATTAGTTGGAAAATAATGCACAGAACACTCGCCATTTGTATCAGCTGCCCACCAAGGACACCAAGTGTCTCTATCTGTGCCCAGCACTTTTCAGGAATCACCAAAGGGCATATGTCTAGGGTCAAAAGTTTCATTCACCTCAAATCACTGTGGATTTCAATAAGGAAGATGTACACCTACACTCAGGTTCAGTATTTACACACAATGCTTCCCATTGTCCTAACAGCTGTCAGATGCTTCTTTAGTATTGAAACTAATCAAGACATAGAGCTGACCCCCATAGTAAAGTTGAGGTTGCTCAAAGATCAAGAAGGTATGGCTTTCTGAAGATCACAGAGGAAACAGCTTCATTTGGTCCAGCCTGTCCCCTCAACAGTTGGCTTAATCCAGCTTTCCATCTCCTCTATAAAAATAGCCTTGGGTGAAAAAAATTAAATACCTAAGAATATACTTTGCAGCCGGCTGGTACAGGGTTCAAACCCAGGACCTTGGTGTTATCAGCACTATGCTTTGCTTAGGAACAAACTTAACCAAGGAGGTGAAAGACTTCTACAGTGAAAACTGTAAAACTTTGAAGAGAGAAATTGAAGAGGACATAAATAAATGGAAAGATATTCCATGTTCATGGATTGGAAGAATTAATACCGAAAGTGATCTACAGATTTTTTTTAACCTACAGATTTAATGCAATCCCTATCAAAATACCAATGACATTCTTCACTGAAACAGAAAAAATGATCCAAAAATTCATATGGAACCAGAAAAGACCTTGAATAGCCAAAGAAATTTGGAGAAAAATGAACAAAGCTGGAGGTGTCACAGTACCTGACTTCAGATTATAGTACAAACCTATAGTCACCAAAACTGCATGGTACTGGCATAAAAACAGACAGATAGACCAATGGAACAGAACAGAGAGCCCAGAAATAAATTCATGCCCCTACAGCCAACTGATCTTTGACAAAGGTGCCAAGAGTACATATTGGGGAAAAGACAACCTCCACAGTAAATGGTGCTGGGAAAACTGGATAGCCATATGCAGAGGAATGAGAGTAGACCCCTATCTCTCACCATATAAAAAAACCAACTCAAAATGGATTAAATATTTAAATGTAAAACCTGAAACTATGAAACTACTAAAGAAAATATATGGGAATGATCCACGACATGGGGCTGGGCAAGGATTTTATAAATAAAACTTCAAAAATACAAACAATAAAAGCAAAAATAGCCAAGTGGGATTATATCAAACTAAAAACCTTTTGCACATCAAAGGAAACTGCAAACAGAGTGCAGACACAATCTATAGAATGGGAGAAAATATTTGCAAACTATACATCTGACAAGAGGTTAATATCAAGAATATATAAAGAACATAGCAGCAAAAAAATAACCCAATTGAGAAATGGGCAAAGGATCCTAACAGATATTGTTCAAAAGAAGATATACAAATGGCCAATGGGCATATGAAAAAATGTTTAACATCACTAATCATGAGGGAAATGCAAATCAAAACAATGAGATACCACCTCACTCCAGTTAGTATGGCTATTATCAAAAAGACAAAAGAGGACCGGCCCCGTGGCTCACTCGGGACAGTGCAGTGCTGGTAGCGCCAAGGCCACGGGTTTGTATCCTGTATGGGGATGGCCGATGCGCTCACTGGCTGAGCGTGGTGCAGTCGACACCAAGCCGAGGGTTGCAATCCCCTTACTGGTCAAAAAAAAAAGACGAAACAAATGTTAGTGAGGATATGGACAAAAGGGAACCCTTGTACACGGTTGGTAGGAGTGTAAACTAGTACAGCCATTGTGGAAATCAGTATGGAGATTCCTCAAAAAATTAAAAATAGAACTACCATTTTATCCAGCAATCCCACTACTGGGTATATACCCAATGGAAATGAAGTCAGTTGGTTGAAGAGATATCTGCACTCCCATGTCTACTGCAGCACAATTTACAATAGCCAAAATATGGAATCAACCTAAGTGTCCAACAACAGTTGAACAGATTTAAAAAACTGTACTATATATAGCAATGGAATACTATTCAGCCATAAAAAGGAATGAAATCCTTTCATTTGCACCAACGTGGATAGACTTGGAGTTCATTACATTAAGTGAAGTAAGCCAGGCAAAGGAAGACAAATACGATGTGATCTCACTCATATATGGACTCTAAGAGGAAAAAAAGTTGATATTATAGAGACAGAATAGAACAGAGACTGGGGAGGGAAGGGAAGAGAGGGAAAACAGTGAGAGGCTGGCCAACAGGTACAAAATTACCATTAGATGGGAGGAATAAGTGCTGGTGCTCTATTGCACAGCAGGGTGACTATGGTTAACAGTTAAGTTTTATATATTACATAATAGGTAGAGAAGCAACTTTTCAATATTCTCACCACAAAGAAATGATAAATGCATGAGGTGATTGATGCATAACACCTGATTTGATTATTTTTTCCTGACCTGATTATACAACATATATGTATCAAAACGTCAGATTGTACCCCAAAAGTAGTACAATTACCATGTGTAAGTTTAAATAAATAGCAATAATTAATGCATGAGGTGACTGATACATTAACTACCCTGACCCAATTATTATACAACATATATATGTATCCAAACATCAGAATGCACTCCATAGATATGCATAATTACAATGTGTATGTTTAAAAAATAGAAATAGATTAGAGGTTACCAGAAACAGGGGGAAGGAATAACGTTTAATAGGTATAGAGTTTATGTTCAGTATGACAAAGTTTTTGAAATAGAGGTGATAGTCACATAGCATCCTGAATGTGATTGATTCTACAAATTATGTTTCAAAATGGCTAAAATGAGGGCCAGCCCGCAGCTCACTTGGGAGAGTGTGGTGCTGATAACACCAAGGCCACGGGTTCAGATCCCTATATAGGGTGAGCATGGTGCTGACAACACCAAGTCAAGGGTTAAGACCTTCTTACTGGTCATCTTAAAAAAAAAAAAAAAATGGCTAAAATGGCAAATCTTATGTTATATATATTTTACCACAAATATAAAATAGAAATTAATTTATAACCAAAACAAAACAAACAACAACAAAGAAAGCTGCCCTAGGAGATTCAGGAATGGAGCAGCACAACAGCGGTTTGCGGATGATGCTGCCATATGGAGTCAAATTCAACCGTGTCGCACTGCAGACTTCTGCCAGGTAGCAGAGGCATGAGAGAGAAGGTCTTGAGCTGCTGTGCATGCTAGGGATGGGGCAGAGGCAGAAAGGGATAAGAAAGATAAGACCTCTCCCCTAAAGCGGCACAGATGGCAAAATGAAGCCTGGTGAGTGTGAGAGGGGATGCACCAGCTCTGCAGGAAACCTCCCAGAGGAGGGGGCTGAGCTGGGTATAAGCAGTGAGCAGCCATGGCCAGCCCGAGGGAGTGGGGGCCAAGAGAGAACAATCATTCCAGGCAACAGGGACAGAATCAGACAGATTAAGAGATAAGAAGGAACAGGAACCTCTGGGGGACCTACCAGCTTTCAGTGCAAGTTCCTATCTAGCTTCAAGCACAGTGTGATAACACCTTCTCCAGGAGAACCTCCTGCCTTAGGCTGGTGGTTTAAAGTCTTAATCAGGTTTTATCCTGTTGCTGGAGTGAGCAGGACTGAAGCCATGTTGGGACTTAAAACCACCTGGACTACAGGAAATTTTAAAAAGACAGTTTTTCTTAGCATGCATTTCTCTGAGTTTCCTCTTTTCCCATGGTTATTATTTGATATTTTGAACCTTGGTTACAGGCAAGATGACATTATTTATATAAATGTAAAGTTGTTTTCCAGATAGCCTGGAGCTGCAGACTGGTCATGAGGCATGTAACTAAGCAGACCTTGAGAAACCAAGGACGACATCAATAAAGCTATGTTGACCCTCCCCGAAGCAAATCAGAATCTAGACAGAAGCTAGACAGAGCCTTGGTGAGAATTTGCATCTGGCTCTTTGCGTCCCCCTCCCTCCTGCTTTTCATTTCTCATGTTCCATTCCCTCAACCCCCTCTTAAAAAAAACCCTCAGTAAATCTGAGTCTTTGAGAAGGTTTTAGTCTGACCATTCTCCTTCAGGTTTACTGGGGAAATGGGTTAGCTTAACATCTCTCCCTCAGATTACTGGTTTTTTTGAATAAAGCTGACTTCCTGTTCCATCAACACCCTCAGTAAATCTGAGTCTTTGAGAAGGTTTTAGTCTGACCATTCTCCTTCAGGTTTACTGGGGAAATGGGTTAGCCTAACATCTCTCCCTCAGATTACTGGTTTTTTTGAATAAAGCTGACTTCCTGTTCCATCAACATGTGACTTTGGAGTTGTTTTTGTTTGGTGGCAGGCGGCCGGACTTGGGCTCGGCAACACTCTATGCTCCCACAGTTGCCAGAGCATCATTAGATTACACTCACAATGTCCTCTGACTTCCTTCTTTCCATCCCATCCACACACATGTCCATCCCACCTTCCCACCTACTGGTCTGCACATGTGTCACAGGCTGGGACCACATCTTTAACACTGCCCCCAAAGGCCCAGCTCAACAGCTGGCATGCAGTAGGTGCTCATTTCACCTTTGTGACACTGAAATTGTTATTGAATAACAAAGCAACTTAGTCCCAACACAAATGACTAATATCCATCAATCTTTGGCAGCTTTCTGTCTCTCGACTGAAACTCTCCTTTCTTCAGTTTAAATGTCTTCATGCCTGACCTCTATCAATCTCTGCCTGGGGTAAAAACTCAACTTGTCAGAAGCATCTCAATACTTATTTTCTTTGCTTGGATATTTCAAAACATAAACAACTTACACAGCATGCTGGTCAACCTTGGTTGGCCTGATGCTATCGCCTGACAAACTGAAGTGCCTCAAAGAAAACACAGGCCACCCTCACCCACCCTCCCTTTCTGTTCTATCCTTTCCCTCAGTGCTCCCCCTCCCCCCAGTGTCTTCCTATGATGGAAATATACAATCA